TGGGCAACTGGAGCCTAGCCTAGGGGGTCAACAAACTAAACCAGGCAAACTCAACTTCCGTCCTTCCTCTGGAGGGAAGGGCCCAGGAACCAGAGGAACTGGGGTCCTTATGCTGCTTCTATGTCTGAGCGCCTTTAGACCAGCCACTTACGTGCTCTGAGCCTCGGTTTCTTCATGTGCACAATGAGATAAAATAAAAGTAGCCCTACACACCTTATTACTACTTATTACTATTACTGTGAGGTTATCAGCATAATTCAGAACCAGGGTTTCCTGCTACAGGTGTACATTGATTAGTGCAATGGGCACATTCTAGAAATGGTTATATGTCAACTGAACTCTGACAGAATAAATCCTCTGTGAATGAGCCATCGGTGTGGACTACATAAACCCGTGTGAAGTGTTGCTAAACCTGAGCACCACCTTCTAATTTGTTCCACCTTTACCACAGTGTCCAGCTGTGCTTGATCTCCTTCGTACAGGGAGGAACCTCTGGAATTTTAGCGGTGGGCTCAGTTCCCCTGACACAGGGTCATCAAGGGAACAAATGAAGGGTTGGAGACACAGGAGGGAAACAGGGAATTTTAGTGCATTGGGAAGTAGAGGGAGAAATATGCAGAAGCAATACCAAGGTAAGACCTGAGATTTCCGTGGAGGAGACTGCAGTACAGTCGAACCTCAGACTTGGCCCCTGTGGCCCTAGGATGAAGCATCTGGGGACCAAGAGAGGGAAGGAGTGACGTGAAGTCTGTGAGAGCAGGAGAAGTGCAGAAGGTGGCGAGGAGGGGAGTGACACTTGAAGGGGGTGGTGGTTGATTCAGAGCCCAGCAACTTCTCCTTTCTGCTTCCCCCCCTGCTTCCTCCTCCCTGAGAGAGAGCACGCTCTAGATCCAGGCCACGCTCTACATGAAACCCAAGCCACGCAATTGTCTACACCACAGCTTCCTGTCCATCACAGGAGGAACCAGTTTAGAGCGGAGCTTGTAGAGTAGGGTCACTGCTTGATTTAGTCCCATGGGGCCCCACCCCATGAGAACTGGCCCCCACATTGCTCTTGTAAATGGAATTCATTGGCCTCACTCCCCTGTATTCTGAGATTTTAATCTTCATCTCCCCTCAGTAGGGAAGAGGTTTCTGGATGGAACAGCAGAGCAGACTCCTGAAGGCTTCCTTCCATGAAACCTGGCCTTCCTGGAAAGACTGGTAAGACTTTCTGCAGGACAGACCCCACCCAGACTGTGGTGCCATGAACGCTCCTAACAGCTCCACAAAATTCTTTGCTCCAAGTTTTTAAATACATGGTTTCTTCCAAAAAGCCAAAAACCTTGCAACCTTCTTAGCAACAAAACCACTGAAACCAGGAGATGCAGACGCTCCATCACTGCCTATCCATGCCCTCTTGTCTACTTCTCTGTTTTTAAGGCTCTTCATAAATTTCTCTTTGTTGTGAATTCCATCCCCTCTACACTCGAGTATCCTTCCAATGCAGCCCTGTTTTTTAAGAAGTTGGCATGAGGCACAGGCCCATGCTGACCGGCTATGGAGTGGGGTTCCCTAAGAAAGCTCTAGCACCCCAGAAATATTGCTAAATATTCTAAATGTTGATGGAGACCAGGATCCAAAAGAGGGTAGAGGTGATTCCAGACTATTCTATGTTCCCCCTTTGATGTCTGCCCTCCATGTAACCCCTTTTCAACTCCTTATCTTGCTCTGATAGCAAGGAGAATTTATGGCAACCTAGAAGTCTCCTTGGCAGGACTAAATATAATTTTGTACAAAGGATGGAGGAGGGGAATGGACTCTTTGATGATAAAACCTAACTCATAGCTTTCTGGTCAGCTGAGCTGGAGTCAGCCCTGGAGCAGCCGGACCAGGATGGTTCGGGACCTCCATGGTGCTGTCTTGGCCAGACTTGGGTGTCCCAAGGGAACTGACAGGACCATCAGGGGGAATCTTGCTATTCCCTAAACCCTGCCATTTCCTCTTTCTTGGCTGTTTGGGGAGACTCAGAAGGACAGTCACCCTGGAAATTGCACTATCAGAGCCACCGGGCTGAGGGAAGAAGTGACTCGGAGAGAAACTCTATGAGGCAGGTAAAGGAGTTGCAGAGACAGCAGGGAGTGTCCTTAGGGATCACTCAGAGGGGCTCAGAAGGTTCACGTAGGTTAAGCCGAACTGATTATGGAATGAAACTCACCGGCTCCTCCCTTCTCTCCCCTGCCTGCAGGATTACCTAGAAATAATTTGGTCTCTGCTTCCTTTCTTTCTTTCAAATTCACCTCTTCCTCCCTTGGGTAGGTGTGCAGCCTCCCAGACTCTTGAAACCATTCCCTTCCTAACCTTCCTCCTCCCAGCCGTCTTGCCATGGTTCAGGCACATGTTAGGTATTTAGGGTCAGTCTTGACCGGAGGCCTCAGGTGGATGGGCCAACACCCCGAGCTCAGCATGGACCTGCCTTGTGCCTGAATTGCAGGGTTGGGCTCAATTCTGGGAGCTGCAGTTCTGACTTGCTCCCTGCTCTTGGTCACCTGCCTGGACCCCAGTCCCTCCAAGCCTGGCACTTCTCACTCTTCTCAGAGCCCCTGCCTTTGTGCTGAATTGTCAACTCTTGGGCTGGGCCCTGTGGCCAGCCAGCAGCCTCCATGGTGCTCACACCTGCATTTCAGCATCAGCTGGGCTTGGCTTGGGGGCCACCTGCCTGAAGGATGTGCCAGTGCTGCATACTTGGCTACCTGCTGCCTGACTGACCACCTGGTGTCTGCTGCCAGCTGCTTTGTCCCATGGGTTGCATGACCTCCCAATCCTGTAGCTGGCCTGGAGAGTGGGCATGTCCGCTAAACTAAGAGCTGATAGTAGTTGGCAGTGTCACCCCTGATCAACTGCATGTTGACAAGGGATCCTTGTAGCTCTAGTAAGGTGACTGGTGGGGGCGGGGAACTTTGGGGGCAGGGAGATTGCCCTGGGCTATTCCAACTACACTTCATACCACTGTCCACTGTGCGCTCTGATACATCTAGCTGCTTCCAACTGCTGTAGGCACCTTCCCTCTCCTCTCATCTGGTCCCACCAAGCCTTTCCACCTCTTGCATAGTAACTGAGACCTGCTCCCCATCAACACGAGCTTCCTCCACACCCTCATCTCTTCCCTGCTCCCCTGCAGCCCCAGCCCTGGCCTGCCATTCACAGGAGACAAGCAGGCTTGCCCCGTGATCAGGCAGTCCACCCCATAAGGGATGGAGCCTTTTCTGCTTCCCTTTCCCCTTCCTCCTCATCCCATTTTCTCTGGCTGACATAACTTCACTCGGCTCACAGATTTTTCTCCTTTAATCACTTTGGTCAAAATAAATGACTCATCTCTGCTGACTTCACCCTCTTTTGAAATTTCGAACTCCGAGTCAACATTTTCTTCCCTGCCTTAGACCCTTAAACACTGCCTCTCTGCCCACACACTGGGCACCCATCTCTTCCAAGAGGCCCTCCCACATTAGATGCAGGCTGCAGACAGACAGAAAATGCAGAGCGAGGTACAAGCGAGAGTACATGGACTTGAATCAGATGCCCTCGTGGTCCCTCTGGGCATCTGGTGCAGTGGTTTTCAAGTTCGAGGGCTTTCTGGGGGCAGGGCCCCTACTTCAAACAGAGCAGATCTCCAGTGGTCTAGTCGGGACACATGGCTCTGTAAAGGCTTTTACTTCACAGGAGCATTTCAAGGTGCAACGAGTTTGAAAACCACTGGTGGAGATGCACTGTCTGACTCTGGGCTTTCTCTGTGACAGGTCCCCACCCCCACACCCCCACTAGTCTCTGTTCCAGCATCTTGAGGTAGCCGGGTGGGGGTGGGGTCAGGGCAGTGGGGAGGCATTCACTCCATCACTAGATGCTGTCTCCTTAGAGAGAGCACTAATGTTAAGGAGAGAGTGCTGACCTGAAAGCTAGCTGGCTTCCTCCACTGGTTCTGCACCACCCCCCTGCCCCCGTGGGCCCACATCTAAACTAGTCTCATTCCCGTGGAGGCCCTTGAGATATGAGGCCCTTAACTGCATCTCAGGCCTTCTCCTGCCCAAGCCAAACACTCGATTCTTCCAGCTATTGCTCAGGCCCTGGCTGGATGGGCTGACATCCTTCTGCCAAGGGGCCCCAGGTCTACCTGAGGTCTGACACAGGGGGTGCAGGCCCAGCCCTCACGCTGCTGGACACCACACTCCCAGCCAGAGACCTTGGCCAGGCCCTTCTTTTCCCTGGGCCTGTGGAGAGATTTGCTCGGGATGCCCTGTAAGGTGCACCCAGCTTTAAGCGTTTTGAGGCAGATGACCTTCCTACTGGAAAGTCCCCCACTCCCCCAGCTCTCCAGTTGTTGAATCTCTCTGAGTGTATCGTGTTTAAAAGATGTCTGTGTCCTCCATGGGTGATGCTGTTCAGCTGGGCACAAAGATAGCTAAGTTATGGAGACACAACTGGGACTGACCCCTTGTCCTTTTTAGAAATTTGATCCAGAAATTGGCTTCAAAGCCAATGCCTTTTTCCTTCCAAAATTTTCTGTCATTTTTCCTTCTTTTTTATTTACTATTATTATTAACCAAGACCAAGTCTTTCCTGGTCCTGGGTCCTGGCCTTAGGGTCCCTGCTCTTCCTTGGGGTTTTGGGGTGATGTACCCCACTTCCTGGCACCCCCAGAGTGCCTGCCCCTTCTGAGGGCTGTGGAGAACCTGGCCTTGGAACCTCCAAAAGTTGCCAGAGGAATTAGGGAATAGAACAGTGGCGGACAAAATTGGAGCTAGAGAGGAGAAAGGGGAGAGGAAAGAGGGGAGAGACGCTGGCCCTAAGGATTCCCCGCCCGCCCCCGCAACGCCTGCATGGCCCGGGGACCTCCCTGTCGTACCTGAGAGGAGGGCCTGGCCCGTGAACTGCCCGTACACGGAGGCAGCATGGGGAAAGGCATTGAAGGGCGGGACCGAGGCACCGGCTGGGACCCCGGAGCCGACTTGCTGCAGATCCAAAAAGGCGGAGCTAGATAAAGAGGAAGGGGTGGAGCTAGAACTGGACACCTCGGGGGTTTCCTGCTTTATGGCGAAGGGTGAATGAGGATCTGCCGGAGGGAGGGAGACAACAAGGAGAGAGGGGTGTGAGATGACAGGGCGGGCACATGCACAAACCAAGCCATGAGATGCAGGAGGGTGCAGGCGGCGCGGGGCAGGCAGACCCGGCTGCTCTCAGGTTGGGTGGGGAGCGAGGGTGGTCCTCAGGTCTGGCCAGGATGGGAGAGAAGCTCTGCCTCCCTGCTGTGCCTTCTTTGGTGTGGATGGGGGACTGTGCAGTGTGTGCCCCGACTCTCCCGAAGGAAGGAGGGAGTGAGGAGACCCAGGAGCGGCCAAGGATTGGAGGCAGGGCCCCTTGACCCAGCTGGAGGCCCAGCCAGCACAGCCCACCTCTCCTCTCCAGGCCAGGGCCCCAGACACCTTCCTCCTGATGGCCAGCCAAGCTCTGCCTTCCCCGGCCCTCCATCCCGCCCTCACAGTTGGGGCCAGCTGGCCCGGGAGACTGGGGCATCATACCTGCCACCACCGGATAGGTCTGGTGAGTCGAGAGGTTGCGTCCCAGGGGAGTATTGGAAGGGGTCAGGGTGGCCTTCCCGTCATCCAGAGTGCTGTTGAGCAAGGGCAGCGGGTAGAGGCCCTGGGGAGCAAAGAGAAGTCAGCGCACAGAGAGGCCCCTGGGCAAACAAGACCTCCTCTGGACCCTGCAGCCTGTCTTAGCACCTGTGGCCTTAATCTCCCCAGGAAAAGTTTCCTCATCGTCCCCTTCCTACTGTACATTCTCAACTGGTGGCTGTGTCTCATCAGTTGGTCCCTGTTCTCCTTCTGCATTCCTGGCATTTAAGGCCAGCTGGTGGCATGCGAGCCCAGGCATGGGACGGAGAGTCTGCCCAGAGGACCACACTCTGGCTGGATGGCTGGTCCTCTGCCTGTCTCCCCACAGTTTGAGCTCATAGAGTACAGGACGGTGCCAAGGGCTGGAGCAATCCCGTTGGGTGACTTCACTTCAGAATGCTTCACTCTATTAATTCGTGTATTCCTCTTCAGATAGGGCACACAGGCACAGAGAGGTTAAGAAACTTGTCACACTTCCATGTTGGTCAGAGACAGGATTCAGGATTCAGACTCAAAGGGTCTGGCCCCAGTGCCCCTGCACTAAATCACTGTCCTAAACTGGAAGATACAATGACCACTTCTTACATTAGCAAAGAGCCTCTGTTATCCAGATAGAGTCCCTCAGCAGCCCTGTGACATGAGCAAATAATACTATGCCTATTTTATATGTGGAGCCTGAAACCCGGAGGGGTAAATGGCCCAGGGCTGTATAAGGGAACTGGGACTAAACCCAGGACTTTGGGTGCTGCCCCAGGTGCTCTAGCTACCAGGTGGAACAGGTGGATTTCTTCTTCTCTCGCTCCATATCTAAACAAATAGAAGCATGCAGGTCCAGCTTGAAAATGATTCTTGGAGTTGATTTTGTTGGAAACGCTCTTTATCAAGTGCCTGGGAGTTTTCTTCAATAAGACCTCATTTTAGACGCCTCTTGGCCTCCCCTGGCACAAGCACAGCTGTGGCCTCAGGTGCTCCTTCCAAAAGAATTTGTTTAACTAAAGGCAAGTGTACCCTACCCCCTCACGATGGCTCCCTCCCACCAGAGGACAAGACAACACACGCAGGCACACACTCGTTCCCCACATGTGGTCACACGGCATATACGCACCATGCGAAAGATTGTGCAAAACTGAAACCAGGGAAAGCTCTGTGGTTGCATAACAGCTCCACTAAAGGCAGTTGTTTGCAGCAATTTCCATGGAGCCGGATTCTCCAAAGAGCCACAGCACTTTCCGGTTGCATGCCGGGCACTTCTGGAAGCTGCAATCAATTCTGGAGGCCACTGGGGCACCATTAGCGCGTAGCGGCAATTACTGACTAAATAGTGCTCTGGTTCCATGCCTTCCGAGGGGGCCCACTTAGAGGCAGGGTGGAGTTGCTTAGAGCTCGGCTTAATGAAATTGAACAAAATACCTAATTTCTAGAGAGTGTAAGAAAAGTTTAAAATGCCTTATGGATGTGTTGATTGGCTGGCAAAATATCTACTCGGAATCCTATAGCTGTTCCAAAATCTAGGCAATTTAGTGAAAAAAGTCATGAAAAAAAGTCATGAAACATTTTGTCGATTTTATATTGAGTGGCTTAAACAACCCAGTGATGACTGGATTTTTTTTACTGGGGTTGAGCTTGAACTGGGGACAGAGCGGCACAGCGCTTCAGAACTTAAGCGAGTTTGAGCCCTGGTTCTGTGACGACTTGCTCAGTAGCTTTAGTGTACTTGACCTGGCTGAGCCTTGATTTTCTCACCTGTGTAACAGGGATCATAGAATCTACTTTGCAAGGCTAATGTAAACATTAAATGAAATTTTACATACTTATATAAAGCACTTAGCACAGACTGCTTGTTGACAATAGATGCTCAATAAGTAGTTATCATAGGTTTTATTATTTCAGAATTATGTGAAGAGTCAGAAGCTGCCAAATTCTTGGTCGCTGTCATCATAATGTTCACATTCTGTTGATAGGCTTCTTGGTGCACATTGTAAAATAGAGGAACAAGAGCTGTATGGACTCCTGACTATGTCCCATAGTGAAATAGCAGCCAAGAATGAGGTCACATGACGTTTCCGTTGACTTTACAGAAGAGATGGCTCTGTCTATGCCCCATCCTAAGGTCGGTGAGTACTTGTGCTTCTCTCTTGGCTCCCCAGGCCAGAGGGCCTTCCCTCGCCCAGGGGAGAGAACACAGTGTTCCTTTGGCAGCACAGTCCATCACCAAAGGTAGGGAAGGCAAGGGCCCAAGGACACAGGCTGGTTCTCCCCGCCCCCACCCCCCGCCCCACCATGCCAGGGGAATGAATGAGAGAGGAAATGAATAATTTATGGGCACTGTGCTGGGCCTCAGTTTCCCCATCTGTAGGATGAACAGTTGGAGCAGTTCAATGGTTTCCAAATGCTGTTTTTCCAGTCTTCAAATAGAACACACATAGAAGCCCCATACCTGAAACAGGTGACAGCGGGCCAGTTTGAATGAAACCAGGGCCGGCAGGCCTGAGCTCCACAACCATCCATCTGCTTCTCTGAGCCTTCCCTGAACTCCCTGGGCCTGGGTTATCTCCACACACTTACACACACTGGACTATGTGGTCACCGAGGTCCCCACTAGCCCTAAGATGCTCTCATTCCAGGAATTCCCCATGAGTGTATGCCCACGTGGCACAGGGGCTCTCTGCGGTCAAGCAGGGTGCTTTGGAGGGCTTAAGGGTGGAGCCAGGAAATGGCTCTTGGACCCAGCAGGTGCCCAGGTGCTCAATGGTAAGGTTTCTTCACTGTAACTGTCGCAGGGTGGCTGGTGCTTGCACGTGGGTTTTGCAGGCTCACCCTCACACAGCAGGCTTCCTGTAGGCCCACACCACGGTCCGCTTTCCCTCCCAGTGGTGTGTGCTGACTCTCAGAGAAGCACCCCGGCCCTCTCCCCAGCTGGCTTTCCCTGCACCCTCGTGGTTGCCACAGTCAAAGCTGATAAAATCGCTGACGCAGATTGCCTGCCCAGCTGTGGGTACTGGCAGAGGGCCAGCAGCCCAGACGGCCATTGGCAATGGTTCAGCTGATTATTGGCATTGTCACCGGTCCCACTCAGATAGTACAGGCATATGGGCTCCTCTCACTCCTAGATCGGATGACAGCATGCGCCAAGCGGGGCAGGCAGACGCCACCCTAAAGACAATCCTCAGCTGGGTGCTTGGTGGGGTGAGGGGAGGAGGACACCACCACTGTGGACTGAGAGCTCAGTGGTTCCCTCAGAGTGTAGCCTTTGCTGGCCTCATGTGGGACCTCTCGCACCTCTGCCAGCTTTTCACAGAAGTGGCCCACTATAATTCATTTCACCTGTCCTGAGCGCTGGACAGGTGGCTTGTGATTGATTGTTCTGGATTTCGCAACTCATCTGTTTGTCCATTCACTCGCTGTCCCTTTATCGAGTATCTTTCATGAGAGGGGCACAATGTTAGGTGCTGAGGACAAAAAATGATGTTTCACGTCTCATGAGGAGTCCCTGTCCTTAAGAAACCTGTGTGTTTATGCCTGTCTGCTAAGTCATCACGACACACCATGAGAAGCTACCAGGAGTGGCCTGTGGGACGTGCAGAGGCACAGAGGGAGACTGGAGAGGCAACTCCTGTCAGAGGGGCAGGAAGGATTCTCAGGGAGGGGCATGCCGGAGCTGAGTCACACGGGCAAGTGGTATTTTTCCAGGCAGAGAAGTGGGAGGAAAGGCACGCTGGGAGGAGGGCACACGGCCTGTGAGGGCAGAGAGGTGTGAACGAAGGCAGGGAGCTGGGGACATGAGTAATGCAGGGCCCTGGGGCACATGCAGGGCGAGTGCAGAGGGGCATGAGGAAGTGGTGGCTGAGGTCATCACTAGAAGGCTTTGTGACACCATGTTAGATTGTGAGGCCCGACCCCACGGTCTGGGGAAAACGCTGATGGCGAGGGGATGGCACCATCGGGTGGTGCTGCCCTCCCCAAAGGGCCAGGCTCAAAGGTTTCGGGGAAGCCAAGAGGGTCGGGAGGAGAGGACGATGCTAGGGCGTCTGGTGAAGTAAAGCACATGCTGGGTGTGGAGCTGCAGACAGCTGACACTGACACTGCCAATCTCAGGCTACCTCATGCTCCCCTTCTATCGTGCACCCTGAGCCCATCGAAGTGACTTCTGGCTGCTCTGGTGGCTGACTGCAGGCTCCTTAGGAAAGTACGCCTTGCCCTGCCCCCTACCAGCCCACCCCTGCTCACCTCCCAGGCCCAGCTTCTCACCTGCTCGCCTTTGGTGTGGCTGGGGGAGGCGTAGGCCTCCGGGTAGTGCTGCCGCTCGAATGGGCACTCGAGCGGCTCGAGGTGATGCTGGCTGAAGGCATCCGTGCGAAGGTGCTTTCGGGGCCCGCTGCTGCTGCTCTGCGAGTCGATGCTCAGCCGGCAGCTGTCCTGGTCACCTGGCGCCCCCAGGCAGGGAGAAAGCTTTCAGGGGACCCATCTACCCATCCCCTAGGCCAAAGTAGAGGACACACTGTCGCTGTGGAGGGAGGGAAAGGTCCAGACACCTGGGCCCAGGGCCTTGGCCACCTGAGAGACGGGGCAGGTGACTTCAGGGTAGGCATTCAGAGCCCGTATAAAGTCCTGGGCCATAGGGAGTCTGTCCCAATAAGAGCCTGAGCAACTGCCCTTCCATACCCCCGTGCTGCCCTCCTGTCCCCAACACTCACTGTCATCCATTTTCCTCTTGCTGTCGCTGCCAGGCTGGGCGATCCCCAGGAGCCCGTTGATGGAGTAGGTGGAGCCCAGGGAGTCTGACTGGGGAGACTCTGGGGGTGTTACGGCTGAGCTGGGGACTGCGGGGGGTGAGAGGCATAGGGTGAGGATGTGGGAGCGACACCCCTCACTGCCCCTGCTGCCACTGTGGAGGAGGCGGCAAGCCACGCCGTGTGCTGGGCCCTGGAGAGGTTGGAGGCCGTTCCCCCGGGGGTCCCGCTGGCTGGGGGTTGTTGGAGTCAATGCCGTCTGAGGTGTTCCCACCCCTCAGTAGCTCAGGAAATCTTCCCTGGGGAACCAGGCCAGGCTTTGTTCCCGTGGAATGGCCCAGTCTGCCCATGCGCGTGTGAGTCCTGTACACGGGCATGTCTGTGTGTGCCTCTGTGTGTGTGTGGGTACACAGAAGGGGGTGTGTGCACCCAGGGCCCTCAGCACTCACTCAGCGTGTGTCCTGGGCTCAAGGACTTGGTGGCCACACAGCTGTCCATGGGGAGGTTGAATGGCTGCTGCACTTTGGTCCGGATGATTCTGTGGGGAAGAGAAGAAAGGCCATGAGAGAGAAGAGGAGGAGACAGGACTCACGGCTACCCCAGATCCAGTAACCTTTTTGATACCCCACTCTGGTATCTCAAAGCACCTCAAACTCGACTGTCCACAGTCAAACCCATGACCTCACCCTCACACCTGGTCCTCCCCAGTGTCCCCGTTTTGTGATTGGCACCATCAGTCACTCAGGGCAGAAATCTAGATGGGGGAACATCTGCCACCCTCCCTTCCCTTCCTATCAAACCTGTCATCGAGTTTCGTGTTTGACCTTGTAAACCTCACCAGCCCTGACCCCTCTCTGCATGTCACTGTCAACACCTTAGGGCATGCCACCACCAGCTCTTTCCCTCCAGGGTCACTCCCCAGCCCACTCCATCCACTCTTGACCCTTCGTAGTTAGTTCCCCTTCGTGCAGCCAGAATGGACTTTCTGAAAGGCCAGTCAGCTGCCTGCTTAGGATCTGCGAAGGGCTTCCCATTGCTCAAAGATCAAAGGCAAGTAGGTCACTTGGCCTCCAGCTCCTGCAGGGCAGCCCACTGACACTGCCAACCTCAGCCTACCTCACTGCCACTGCCAACCTCAGCCTACCTCACGCTCCCCTTCTATCGACTGCTTTCTTCCAGCTTCCTGTGTAAGACCCTATTAGCCACAGGGCCTTTGCATGTGCTGTCCTAGAGTTCTTTTTGCTCCTCTTTCACCTAGTTAACTCTTATTTGTTGTTTCTTACTCAGACAAAGCCTCTCATCACCTTCCTGAGCCACATATCCTCATGTTCCTCCCCTTAGCAGGATGTAGAGCTGCATTTTTATAATGTTTTGTGTGGGTACTTGATTAGTGCTTGTGTTCTCATTAGTAGTAAGCTGTGTAAAGACAGGAATTGTGTGTTCCAGCGCCTAGCACACAGTCAATGAGTGAATTATGTGTGAATGAATTAATGAAATGAGTGATAAGTAAATGATTGAGGTGGTGAGTGAATAATTGAAGGCCTAAACAAATGAGGGAATGCTTGAATGTGGGCCCAGTTAGAGGTCTTGTGACTCATAAAAGGATCAATTCAAGAAGATTCTTTTATTGAATGAAAGAGGATGTGGTGTTTGAGGAGGGAAACTGTAGGTAGCACAGTTTCCTGCCCTGATGGCTGGTTTTCGATCAGCTTCCATGGCAGGGGCCGGCAGGAGGGTGCCCCAGAGCATGGGGCCAGTGGGGCAGGGAGGTGCGGTGCTGCCCGGTGCCGGGGTGCGCCCTGCCTGATTCTCCAGTATGAGGCCCCTTCCCAGCCCTGGCTCCACCCAGGCCCTTCTCTGGTCTCTTTCGTGATGCCCGTGAAGCCCAGGGGCCCCAGCTGGCTCCAGAGGCTCACCTGTTAATGGAGCTGACGCTGGGCACAGTGTCGTTGTCACAGACGCCCTCAGCCAACAGCCGGTCTCGGATCTCCCAGGCAAACATGGTTGGGTTCTGTCGCTTGTAGTCCCCAATCTTCTCCACCACCTTGGGCGTGGCCACCTTGGGCTTGGAGCCCCCTATCACTCCAGGCCGGATGCTACCAGTCTCGTAGTACCTACTCCAATAGAGAACCCCAAAGAATTACCCAATAAGCAGGCGGGGTCTCTGGGGGAACTTAGCCAGGGCCTCTCTCCCCGCTGAGGTTTCTAGGGAGGGACATGGGGCTGAAACGTGCCCCTAAGGCTGGCCTCAAACACTTGATGTTCCCAGAGCCGTCCATTTCCCTTGCTTGGGTAGGTTCACACTGCTGCCAAACCAGAACCCTCCGTAAAGGCTGCGCCCTGGCTTCTCCCCTCTCCTTCCCTTCCCTGTGACCAGTCTGCTGTGTCCGAGCTCCTGCAGGAGCCATCACCTGGGGCACAAGACCTCCCTTCTAAGGAAGGAAATCTTGGTGTACGTGCTGTGTGAATGATGGTTAAGGGTGGCAGTTTGCTCTGTCCAGCTTCTCTTGGCTAAAGCACAACTGGCTGACTCTTCTCCTTGGCCACCTGGGAAGCCAGCTGTGGTCACTGGGCCCCCTTTCCTGTCTTGCTGGTTCACCTTTGCTCCACGCTCTGTCCCAGCCTGAGCCATATCCCTCACCCCCGATCACTGGTTTTCCATCAGGTTACTTGGTTCGAGTTGAAGCTGCTCCTTATGGACTCTGGAATCCCAGCCTGGCTTGGATCCCCACCGGGTCCTGCCTGTTAAGCTGAGCCTCCTCTTTCAGGGTCTCCACTCTTCCCCTCTCTCCAGCCCCCAGCTGGCAGCTTTGGCAGATCAGTGGCTATCCGCCCCTCCTTGTTGTAGAAACTCTCTGGTCTCTCCACCATGAAAAAGAATCTGCTCTTTAAAACTATTCATTTGTCACTACTGTCTAGAGCTTGTCTCCTTTCTGGGACATCACAGCTAGCTCAGAAATCCCCTCTCCCAACCCCAGCAAAGGACCACACTTTTCCCCAACAACTTCAGGCAGGGAGCCAGGGCTTTTCATGGTTCAATGAATGGTCCAGGCAGGGTCCTCTTAAATCCTCGTATGATTCAGAGGACAGGGACAGGTACATGTAAATGGAGCTGACTCAAAGTTCTGGCGCAGGGGCGTTTCTGACAGAAGAGTCTCTCTGGACTAGAATATGTGGCCACGTCAGCTCAGAAGCAGGCCTTTGTACCTCCTGGCCTCTCTTGAACCTCTAGGTCAGTGGTTCTCAACCCTGGCTATGGAGAATTAGAATCACTTGGGGGTATGGGGTGGGCTTAGCAATATCCCCAAACTTGAGCCTGCTCCCCTAATTTAATTGATTCGCCTGATTTAATTGGTCTGGGTTGGGGCATAAATGTTAACTTTGTTTCAAATCAAGCCTCTCCAGGGGACTCTAATGTGCAGCCAGGGCTGTGAAGCGCTGATCTGGGGTCTTGCAGGTCAATGGCTGTCACTCAGAGTTCATAAGTGTCTCTTGGTCATCTCATAAGAATTACAGCACCCAGGCCAGGCTCTGGACGGGGCCCAGGAAACTGCATTTCAGCACACAGCCCTGGTGCTTCTGTTGAAGGTGCCCTGGGAATTATGGTTTGAGAAGCACAAACTCAGACATCCTTCTGACAGGAGTTAGAGACACCTTGGGAGCCACATCTGACTGTGTGTCCCCTCCCCATTGGCCCCATTTCCCTCAGTTGACTCAGCTGGGTGAGGACCTTTGGGGAAGATTCTCCTGCCTCAGGAGCAGACAAACCTACAGCAAAGGAGACATGGCACAAAGGAGAAAGCAGAGGGCGAAACTAAAAGAAGGAGAAATTGACAAAGAAGGGGGAAAAGGCAGGAAAACAACAGAAGAGCAGTGGACGGGCAGAGGCCCAGAAGTCCATCACACACCTGTTCAGGTCTCGGGACCAAATCTGGACTTTGGGAGCAAACTCCCAGTCCCTAGGGGGCAGGGGGAGAGGGGCAGGTGGTCATGTTGCCATGGGGTCAGTGGAGAAGGCAGGACCTGCAGTCAAGGTGGTAGGTGGTGAATTTCGTGCTTACCTGCCAAGGATCTTGCTGACACAGCCATGGCTGACGCGGAGCTGGCGAGAGATGTCGCAAGGCCTCACGCCCTGGTGGGCCAGGTCTACAATGCGTTGGCGGACCACTTCGGGCAGGGGTCTACCATTCACAAAGGCCCCTCCCAGCTGGTTCAGCCCTCCGTGGCCTAAGAAGATAACATTTCCAGGGACAGGTGTCAGGGGCCAGGCAGGAGGTTGGGTGGGGATTAGCCGAGAGTGCGGGGCAGTGTGTGTATCTGTGACCGTGGACTGCACGGTGAGGCCCTTAGCTCCCTCTGCGTCCCCCTCACTTCCCAACCCCCGAAGGCTGGCACAGGTGGTATGTGACGTCACCGCACCCCCCCACCATGTGATGGCTCCAGAGGGACACAATGTGGTCTGGGGCTTTTTGGGCCTGCTCAGTGTCCTTCAAACCCTCAGCCCTTCACTCCAAATAATCCGCCATCTTCTTCCCTCCCTCTGACAAGTTGTAAGCCCCCTCTCTTCCCTGGGTCTCCTTTCTTTTTCTGTAAAATGAGGGCATAGGACAAAATCACTGATTTTCAAATTCCTCTTTCTCCTCTTAAACCAGATTTTTAAACACAACTACATCAAAAAACACAAACACAAAAGAATAAAAGCGGAACTTTTCTGGTTGAGTTGGGGCACAGTGTGCCCAAGCCCTGTCTGTGGGTTCATTGTCTGAATGACCCCCAAGGTTTCCTCTCTCTCTAACAGGCCAGAGCACTACGAATGGCTGGCAGGGACCTCATGGGCACATGTACCCCCGGACTGACCCATGGGCTGCAGGCAGTTGTGCAGAACATGGACACACCGTGGATATGTGCACATGTTTCCTGAGCTGCTTTCCTGACTCAGCCACTGCCCTCTGGACCCAGCCTGTGTTTAGTTCTGAGCCCAGCCAGCCAGCCAAACCCATATGATCGAGTGTTTCTCTGGGCCAGGCACTGTACAGGCCCTGTGGATGCCGGGGTGAATAAGACAGACGGGATCCCTGCTCTTGCCTCACGGAGTTTATTAGAGTGAGGGTCTGGAACACCAAACAGCCAATTAGCATACCTTGTGACCATTTCTGGCACTGGGGACATACAGAGAGCGATGGGAACCAGTGGAGGGGACCGGCCCTGGCTCAGAGAACTACAGATGGGTTCCTGGAGAAGTCTGAGCTGAGACTGAAGATAAAGAGGTGCTGGCCAAGGGAGGGGGAGAAGGAAGAAAACTGTTCCAGGCAGTGGGACCAGCACATGCAAAGGCTTAGAGGCGAGAGTTAGATTTGCCAACATACTCAACCCTATAAAGTCCCCAGATCCATACTGGGCTGATTTCAGGGCTGAGATCTCTGTTTGTCATTGCGAATACTGGGGCTCAGAGAGTTACTTGATCTCTACGACTTGTCTGACTCAGCTTATATGAGGAGAAGCCGGGATCCACCCAGAATTAAGGCTCAGCCCAGGGCTGAGGTGGGGGCCCCTGGGGTGGGCCTTGTTCCAGGGCTGGCGTTGACCCTGGAAGCTTGGGATTGGCCCTGCAGTCTTGTGCTGAAGGGGCCGTGATCTAGGCATGAAAGACATTGCTTCACGCCAGGGGCAGGATTTGGTGATCCGGCTGGCAGGTTAGAGCCCTGGGGGTGGGAGCCAGAGGGAATGGGCAGGCGAGAAGGAAGGGCCACCACCAGGCCCTCCTGTGAACCAGTTAGGGACTATTTACTGCCGAGGTGGAAAGTGCCTTTGCTGGGCACATAGTGCCTGTTACCACCCACTGACTTAGCACATTCAGAACTGCCTTGCAACGTCTCCTCAGGGGCCCAGGCTATCTTCAACCGAGCAGTCAATTTCCCTTAAAAACCAAGAGGGCTATAAGCCACTGCCCTGGGCAGTAAGTCAGGAGGAAAAGCCCGCTGGCCAAACACCCAGCAGGAGGGATGTGATGACCCATCCTCCTGGTGGAGGCAATGGGGTGAGCTTGGGCACAGCTCCCGGGCAGCTGGTCCAGCGAGCGCTTGCACCGGGGCTGGCACAGTGTCCACAGGGGCTTTCAGCGGAGCCCAGGTGGTGGGCAGAGTGGCCATGGCTCCCTCCAGGGCTGGTGCCACTGGCTCCTCACTGGCCTCACTGGCTTCCTGGAGAATCGCTGTAGCCACTTGTCCCTCGCTACGTCCTTGTTGCCCACCCAATTCTTTTGGGTCCAGACACTGAACACAAGGGGGCGCCAGACAGCCACCCAAACCCAACCAGGCCCTGCACAGACCCGCTTTGTCCTCCTTTTCCAGAACTTTCGCTGTGGTGTCCATCAAGGCCTAGAGGTTTGTGCTAGGACCTCTATATCTGGAAGCGAGGTTTCTTACAGGTGGGGCTCTTCACCCCTAGAAAGGTAGCAGGTTTAAAAAAACAAATGCCGCCGGGCGCGGTGGCTGACGCCTGTAATCCTAGCTCTCTGGGAGGCCGAGGCGGGCGGATTGTTTGAGCTCAGGAGTTCGAAACCAGCCTGAGCAAGAGCGAGACCCCATCTCTACTAAAAATAGAAAGAAATTAATCGGACAACTAAAAATATATAGAAAAAAAAAATTAGCCGGGCGTGGTGGTGCATGCCTGTAGTCCCAGCTACTCCGGAGGCTGAGGCAGGAGGATCGCTTGAGCCTAGGAGTTTGAGGTTGCTGTGAGCTAGGTTGACACCACAGCACTCTAGCCCGGGCAACACAGTGAGACTCTGTCTCAAAAAAAAAAGAAAAAAGAAAAAACAAATGCTTTTTTTCAGTGACATGAATTGGGTATTGTGCCTTTTTTTTAATAATAAAATAAAGTCTACCTGTTTCTTCAATGTAAGCTTTGTGGGCTATTATCCTAAATTATCTTGAAGGACTGACTCAGATTCCTTAGAAGCTCAAACTATCAGGAACCCTCCCGAAAGGTTATTTACCATGTAAGCAAGCAATCGAAGTGCAAGGAAAGATGTATTCACAGTTCTGGACCCTAAAGTGTGAATTCTCTGGTGCTTTATTTATTTTACTGGCTTCTGAATGACTTTATGTTACTGTGGCAAGAGCCTTGGGCCAGATTCTTGCCTTGACTCTGCCTGTTTTAATCTTGTCATTTGAGAAAGTGGTTTTTTTTTCAACGTTAGTGTTTTTATCTATTGAACAGGAATTTAACAAAACTTCTTGTTAACATCTGCTGTTGACTTATAACTATTGAAATAAGATGGGGAATAAGGATGAAGACGTGTTTGGCTAGCTGAAAATCTTGTATAAATATACAAGATATAAATGTAAAGTTTTTCTAAATTGTAATATTTCTATGGTTATGGCCCAAGCTTGGCCCTAGGAGGAGAGTGGTGTTTCTCAAACTTGAGTGTTCATCAGAATCACTTGAACAGTTTGTTAAAACACAGCCTCCTGAATACAACGCCCTGAGTTTCTGAGTCAATAGGTCTGGGATGAAACAGAGAATGTGTGTTTCTAAGAAGTTTCCAGATAATGCTAATGCTGCTAGTCTGGGACCACACATTGAGAACCCTGGTTTAGGCCAGACAATGGCTGATACAGAAAATTTCAGAGAATAACTTCTTGTACCAGCCCTCCCCCCGCCAACCGCCACCTGACCTTCTTGTAAGAATAATAATTATTGTGTGTATATTATGGTTTTCATTTCTTTTCAACTCAACACATATTGACCAAGTGTCTTCCATGACTTAAGTGCAAAGTATTGGGGATACAACCTTGAACAAGACAAGAATCCTGGTTCTCAATGAACCTAAAACCTTTTGGGGGATGTGATCAGATAAATTAGAAATTACCATGTTAAGGGAGAAGCGTCTTGAAAAAGGTAAGTCCAGGTGCTCAGGGAGCCCATAAGTGGTCAGACGGAGGCCGTGGGGAGGAGTAACAAGGACGCAACCAGGTGAAGAAGTTTCCACTAGAAAAAATTCCATGCATAAAGTCTTGGTGCATTCAAGAAACTGAATAACATTTACTGTGGCTGTCGGACAGGCAGAAGGGAGAATTCGGAAAGAGGCTGCTGGCTGCAGACAGAGATGGCCCCTATGGTTTGAGGTTTTGAGCTGAGTCCCTGTAATGGAAGGACTTTTGTCTTTCCTGTGTCCGGTGTGGGGGAGTGGACTCCTCTAGGTGAGTCACCACCAGACGCCCAGAGGTGGGTGCAGGCTTCCTTCCTGTACTGCAGAGGGCCTGGCGCCCACTGGGCTGACCACTTTTCTATGCTGCTGTGGACAGGGTGGGCCTTGAGGCCGGAAGCCGGAAATGAGTAGGAGCTCCCTGGTTGGGGGGGAGGTGAGGGTGGGAGGGATAGGTGTGACCCAAGAAGAGGTTTGGAGCCTCATAAGCAAAGATTCTTTCAATGTCTAGAGGATTGTGGGTGGGGAGGGGGGGCGTACAGGAGGAAGACAAGACCACCTGGCAGGTTGCAAGCAGGCTCGTGAGTGTGAAGGAACTCAGACAAGGAAATGCAAGCTTCCTGGGGTCGGAGAGGGCTTATCTTACAGTAAAGGACTTTGGAGCTCCGCAAAGCTCTAGGTGAAGTTTGCTGTCCCGAAATGTAAACTTTGGAAAAGAGACCATATGGAGTCTTAGGACTTTCTTTGATAATTTCTTCACCCTTCTAGAGCTCTGAGGAGTAGGGATGGTAGAAGGAAAGAAGAGAGTCTCATGGCCCACAATTCTTGTTACATGCACTGATATCCAAACCCTTAAGATGTGGGGATACTTTCCCATGCTCCCACAGTCCTTCACACAAGTCCCTGTCACAGCACTCACTGCCCTGAACAGTGACTGTATCTGTTTAGATTCCTTTATGAGTAACTCAAGGGTAGAGGTCTGTCTTTGTCTACCTAGCACTGGGCACAAAGTTTCATTAGTGCTTTAGTATATACATGGACAGAAAAATGCTTTACATTTTGATGGGTGTCACATAGATTCCCAGGATCCCCCACTCTGGGACACCCCCATCCCATAGTCCAGTGTTTTCCTCTTTTACTGTTTGCTCGATCCCTTGCAGCTCTGCCCATCCTAAAGTGATAATGAGTCAATGTGGTGTTCTGCAAAAGTTTCCATGTAACTACCCGGGGATTTTGCTTTAGTTCCAAAGAGTGTCAAGATGGGAGTTTGACACTTGGCAGGGCTATAGTGAGAAGT